TAAGGAATGTAAATTACAGAAGGATGTTTTTCAAGGTCCTGTGCCCCACACCACATCCTTATGTTCGGCTTTGCCCCATTTTCTAGGGCAGGTGGAAGATTTACCACCTTTTTGGAAAAAGGAGATAGGGAGAAGGTTATCAGAGAGTCAGTTTATAAAATCCATTATGTTGGAGCCTTGCAAAATAAACCTAGACGATGGAGGCCTTGCAGAAGCTTTGGACTCGTAGATCCTTTGAAAGTGAAACTCAGCCCCAACCTCCCTGCAAACAGGAAGCTGATTTAAAGACATAAAATAAAAACCAGCTGATGCCCCTGAATGTTTTTGCCTGCTCCTCCCTCTCCGCAGAGCCAAAGGAAACTGCTTCTCCCCTCCCCTTGGGCATTTGCTTAGAAAGCCAGAAAAAGCCAAAAGCCATAAATCCTTTGAAAGTAGGCCAAGTTTTGAGCCAGGAAAACTCCTGCCTGTGGAGTTTTCTAGTTCTGTTGTGCTCAACATCCTAAGAGGAAGAAGACTGGGGAACATAAAGGTACCAGTGATCAGTACCTGTCACCTCGGCCTGTCAGAAGGAGATGGGAGCAGGGTTTTCCAAACTAGATCTTGCAGTCCATAGGTAGGTCATCAAATCCTTAAAGTATGCCATGGCTGGAATTTTTTTTTTTTTTTTTTTGAGACAGAGTTTCACTTTGTCACCTTTGGTAGAGTGCTGTGGCATCATAGCTCACAGCTGCCTCAAACTCCTGGGCTTAAGCAATTCTCTTGCCTCAGTCTTCCAAGTAGCTGGGACTACAAGTGTTAGCCACAACACCTGGCTGTTTTTAGAGATGAGGTCTTGCTCTAGCTCAGGCTGCTCTCAAACCTGTGAGTTCAGGCAATCCACCCACCTTGGCCTCCAGAGTGCTGAGATTATAGACATGAGCCACTGCACCTGGCCTTTTTTTTGAGACTGAGTTTTACTTTGTTACCCTTGATAGGGTGCTGTGGTGTCAAAATTACAGCAACATCAAACTTGGGCTCAAGTGATCTTCTTGCCTCAGCCTCCCAAGTAGCTGAGATTACAGGTGCCCTCCACAACACTTGGCTATTTTTAGAAATGAGGTCTTGCTCTGGCTCAGGCTGGTCTTGAACTTGTAAGCTGAAGCAGTTCACCCACTTTGGCCTCAGAGAATGCTAAGATTACAAGCCATGAAATTATTTTTAATGAAGTAAAATATAAGACTGGTCATCTGGGCTTGGCACCTGTGGCTCAAGTGGCTAACATGCCAGCCACATACACCTAAAGTGGCAGGTTCAAATCCAGCCTGGGCCCGCCAAACAACAATGA